TTCCTTAAAACGTCGAAAGTCCAAACAGTGGCACCATAGAGTTGCTCTCGGTGAAATATGCCTATACCACGGAAAGCACTGGAAATGGTCTTCACAGTCTTTATTTACAGTACTTCAATGAACATATCCACAATACAGCTGTTTTCCAGAGGGAAACTAACAATTTTTTGCAAAGTTCAAACAAGACAGTCTTAAGACGGGAAAAGGGTAAGCAGAAAGTCGTCTTGAAACAAATATATACTGCCAAAACTAAATTTAACGCCCGTGTTATAGAGGAGTACATCAACACTTTTCACTGGTGTTAACATTTTTGCCCTTTTGGTGTAACTGTTAATTCCCTCCGGTGCATTGTAACACTTTGAGTGCAAAGTAACACCAGTGGTGTAAAAGTAACACCCTATGCTGTGGTCATCTGATTACACTAAAAAGTGATGATTTTAACACCGCAGTTTTTGCAGTGTAGCACTGAGATACCATTTTTGGGAGGGGGGCTAAATGAAAAGGACGATTTTGAAGAGAACTGTATTAAGGATTATAGTTCAATTCTCCCAAAGAGCTAGAAAAGCTCACAGATTTAGTGTCAAACCCAGAAATCCAGAAATATTTTGCCACAATGTTCCTCCAAAAACGTTGTTATTCTCCTATCCTTCATTGTTCACGAACAGCTTAAAAAGGACTCACAACTGCTTGTTTTAGTAAGAAGTAGGTGCACCACGTGGTTGAAAAGGTCTGATATTTCCGTAAAGACTGCATCTCAGAAGGGCTGCCTCCCGCCAACTCCAAGTCATTTTCTTGCATTTGATTACATCTTTATTCACTACTTTCAGTCAGTAAGGATTATTGTTGTGAGATGTAAGAGAGGGAGGAAGTGGAAATCTGAAAATATTTAAAATGTGCCCCGGTTTGTTAAAAAAACTTCTTAAATATTCAGCGAGTTCGCCAACAGAATTGGATTCTTCGCTACGTACAGGAGATTCAAAAGATTAACACAGAACCGTAAGTGACTATTAATGGACGCGTAACCACGAGAGAACACCAATAGAGGCTACGTGAATTATCAACTCACCTGCAATGGCGCAAAGCAGCAGCAAAACGATGAATCGATTTATGATGATGGTGGTGATTGTAAGCTGTTGAACTAACGCAGGGTTGCAGGAGAAGAAGCAGTACACGCCAAGCCTTAGTATGCCATAATGTGGAAAGATCCTGTCTTTATAAGTAATTCGGACCCAAGCAATACTCGAATGATGTCTGTAGCTGTATAACTAATTAAGCCAAACTAATAGCGCCTATTTTAGTTCTGATAATTCTGCCCATAGTCACAAATTTTAACTTCACGATCTCTATATAAAGCAAGAGTATAATTTTACACAGTTTTTAAAAAAATCTAAAGGTTTTATACCATTTCATTTTCATCTAATTTGCTGCGTTTGATTACAGATATGCCGAAAAGCAATTGAGGCCCTAATCAAATATTTGATTTTAATCAATTGAAGTCTACGACTTTTTACACCGACACTGCATTTTACCAAAGTCAAGAATGTATACCAGCAGAATAAAAACGTGACACCCACTTGAAAAATAATTTAAAAACATAGGAAGCTAACTTTGTCCCTGAATTTGCTCAAACTAATTGCATTTTAGTGATGATGTTGTGCACGTTTGCCAGTAAATTTTATTTTGAGTTTACAATAGTTGTCGAACGTCGTTTGAGATATCAAATTTAAGTTGTGGTGCTTTTGAATTGAGCTAAACATTGGAGCTCTTGTTGCATTCAGAGATAGTTTCAATTACGTCACAGAACTCAGTTAGATGGAGGTTTACTTAATGTACTTAAGACAGCAAAACATGTTAAAAAGTTGCCACCTTCAGTGCTGATAATGCTGTCATCGGTTGAGCAGTAGGTATAGATTTTTAGCAGAATCCGCTCTTCCAAATGGTCAGGCAGGAACAGGGCAGAGATAAAAACAATCGACAGATTTCACTTAAAATCCACCCTTTTAGTAAAAATGAAACACAACCCTCTCATTTTTTGTCAAAATCATGAGAACACTCCCTTGCCATTGATGTTGTAAAAGTTTGGCTTCTCTAATCAAGAGTCCAGATGACCTTTGAAAAACATCTGTGACCTTTGAGCCATTATGAATTTTAAGTATCATTTAAAGAAATTTTGAACTTAATATTTTTGAAAGTATGGTTCCTGCTCTAGAGGAAGCCGTTTCAATCTTTCTGGGCATTTTAAAATAAAAAAAAGTTTATAGCAATTTTACTATAGTTGGTCAACTTAGAATATGTCAATTTTGTATGTAGTCCTAATACAGAAAGTTGTACCCAAGAAATGTATGCTCTAAAATGACATAAATGAAAGTTTGAAATGGCTGTGTTAGGAATATAATTGGGTCTTAATATTTATGAGGAATTCTGTTGAATTCTAAGCTGTGACTTAAGGTGGCTTAGACGAATATTTATTTACTGATGAGATAAATAAAGGCGTATTGGGGGGCAGGGAGGCAAATTGTATGTATTATTCAGTGATGTCTACAAGCACAGCAATTGTTATCCAAATCTGAAGACCTAATGTCAAAAGGTGTGTCGATCTTACATGGTATGACCCATGTGTAAAAGAGCAGGCTTTTAACAGGAATAATTTTGATATAAAACAAATATTAATATTGCTTAACAATTTCTTTTTACTTTCCAGATTGACAGTACAACAGTTTGTTTTATGGACAACGAACTCTCACAGTTGGCACATGTCCTAAAATTGGGAGATAGAATTGGCCTAAAAAAATTCTGTGAGAAGCAAACTCAATCTGCAGGCAAAACATCAACATTGCCACTTTCTTCAGCCACGAGGACCCGCAGATAAAGTCTTCTTTACCGTCTGAGAAAAGACACTGGACTTGTAGCTGGAGAGGGTGAGGAGAACCCTAAACTATCTTGTCGAGGGAAAGGGAACGTGAGTGCCTCAAGGGAAAAAAGATGTATCCGGGTTGGATGGATACATAATGAACAACAGGTCGAAAGTTCCAGAGGTAAAGGTGTGAAAAATCTTGATGTGGAAAAAGAGGCAAATCTGGAGGCCCTCCTGGAAGCAACTACAGTTCTCTTTTACAGAGATGGCATGTCCAAAAAAGGCCTCAAACTAACTGATTGTACAGAACAAAAACAATACCGAAACATTCCCAAAACAGCTATAAAAAAAAGGAAAAAAAAAGAAAAAAGAAGCGATTTCGGCAATACATGTAACTAGAATTTGTTAGATTGTCTGAGGGAGAAACCACACGGCTTTTTTGCATTTTGAGGTTTTGAACAACTCTCGAAGATACCCACTTTAATGAACTAAAAAAGAGAAGTCTTCCCTGTTAACGTGCTGCAAGGTTCAACCCAATCGCTCACGTACTTCACTAGATATAGTGCTTTGAAGAGTGC